GGAGGCCTGGTCCCAGGGAGGCAGGGCAGGGCCCGGGCAGCCCCTGCTGCAGGCTCAGCCCGCCCGCTCCACCGCGCCTGTGGCACGCTGCAGTAGGAAGCTCCTGCTTCAGCAGTGAAGGTTTGCTGGGCAAGAGGCATGGATTGACTACTGTAGCAGAGCTGCCAGCTCTGTGGCCCTGGGCTCACCACCAGCTTCCCTCAAAATTTGCAGAGGGATGAAGGGTCTCCTCGGCTGCAGGTCTCACCTCAGGCTACTGAGGAAGAGCAGCCCAGCCAGGAGCTCACAAAACACTACTTACTTAACTGAGCTGGGCTCACTCCCCAGGGCTGTTCCTGAAATCTTTCTAGCAACAAACTAAAGCCTTCCTCTTTCAAAAGGTGATCCTCTGATCATGCACAGTCACGTGCCAACGTACCTTTAGAGCTAAACAAAATTATTCCTTCACTCCTAATGAAATCTGAAAAGTCATATTTTTCCAGTACTTCAATTCTTCTCAGGGTATCTTGTGTTACCATCATTTTTGAGGCAGGTGATACTACAAAACACAGACAAAAGCCTGATGTCCCCCCCACGCAAAGGCTGGAAACATCTTGGCAATCTAGTTGTGTGCAGAAGGAAGCGCTCACAGAGGCATCTGTCACTTGTTGAACGAGACAATGCCAAGATGCCAAAGTATTTTCTTGTTAAGATACTAAGGACACCCTGAGGAGAGAGCTCCAGCACACTGGCAGCAGATTGCTACCTTGGAAGGGGAGTCTTCTGTCTCACTGAGAGAGTGACAGAAGTACACGGAAGTTTCTGAGGCAAGCTTTGTAGACCTAGTATTTGCTAAATGCTGCTGAAAGACTTAAGTGAGAGCAAAGTGAGACTTGGGTGTGCCTGGAATGTAGGAAAAAAAACAAAACACCCACCTTACAATGGCATTTTCCCCACTTTGACAAACTTTTCAAGTAACAGAAGAGTGGCTGGAACATCTGTAGGGCAGGAGAGCAGCCTACAGCTATAAAATGTCCAAGATTTATTTTATCAGATGCTGCTGCTGGACAATTAGCACATAGATAACACTGCTAAGCAGACAAGGTTTCAATCCGGTGGCATTCTGGGGGGAGGAAGTATATATACATGGCAAATATATCTAATAGGAGGCACTTCTGTCTTACCTGAAAATGATTCCTTGAGAAACCAACTTATGCTTTTAAAGACCAATACAGTTATGTATTATTTTAATTTTAATGCTAAAAGACGACAGAAAAAAGCATATTTACTATGTCAACATTTTGGCTAGAGAACTTGGTATTGAAATCCCATTACACTGCCTGCCCAGCTTTTGGCCCTGTAGAAAAAAATCAACATGAATCTTACCCACTTGTCCACTGGGCACAACCACCATCCACAGCTACACCAGAATAAAACAAGTTCTAGGGATAGAGCTGAACAGTACTGGGCTACTGACAGTGCACACCACGCACCAGGACCAGGACGTGGTTCACACTGGTTACAGAACACCTCAAGGCACTTGGCAAATCTTGTTCTCACCACCTACAGTAAACGATGCCCCAAACCTGAAGGCATCAGCCAGCACTGTTGGCAGCCACCCTGCTCAGTGGTAGGGTACCTGGCGTTTCCCTCTTCAAGGGCACACAAGGAGGGGAACATTCAAGGCGGCACACCCCAAGTGCCATATCCTCGAGATGGAAGACCAGAAGACAGCCAGCACCTCTTCCTTCCCAGCAAGTTTCAGTACAGGCTCTCTTGCACTACCTTGGATTTGGGAGAGGAACATGGCTGGACCCTACCACTACCAGTCACTTCTGCAGAGCTGTATGTACCTGTAACCCTCAAATTACACTGGAGTACAAGCTTTTCTAATCAGGTAATTTAATATCCAACTTATCAAAGCAAGGAGGTCAACTGTTCTCTTTTTCACTGAACCATGGTAAAAAAAGTCACTGTTTTATTCAGCATCATAGTTACATAACAGTTGTCTGTTTCTATTACTAGAAAGAATTTATTAAAATAGTCCTGAAAGACATCTTTTCTTTCTCCAAGGATTTCAAAACTGTGCCTTTGAAAGCCAATTCCACAGAACCATGGGTTCCACTGGTAGTAGCCAGTTAGAGCAGTTGTCAAGGCACAAGCTCAGCTCTGCATATCTGCTGCAGCTTGTATTGTCAAAGAGATATGCCAGCTCCCTCTTCACTTAAAACGCATAATCCCTTCATTGTGTATTGCAACAGGAGAAATTAACATTAAACACAGACTACGAAAGGTAAAGGATTTATTTCTGATATGATCTGTAGAGTTAAATTAAAAACCTACCGAATACTTTACGTAGTAGATGAACATAACCTTAGTAGTTACTTTCTAACAGTTTATTTAATGGTTGGAAGTGTACAACATGAAGTAGGCCTCACGTTTAATATTGTTCAATTTTGCTTATTGTTAGATGAGATTAAAATACAGTAGCCATCCCTTTAGATTATGTTGCAACACTGATCATGTGCCTTGATAAGTAGGAACGACAGTTCATTAAATAAATGGTGATGACATAACATGTAGGGAAGACTTTGGATTGTCTATTTAAAATGTCAACATAATAGGCAATTAAGAATAAAACTTCATTTTAAGTGCACTTCCACATGCTTTGTTTATAATATAGCAAAAACTTCCTATCTTTTTTCCAAACACTTCACTCCCTACTCTAAAGCTGTTCAGCTGAAAATGCACTTTCCCCAGTAAACGTCTTTAAAAAAAGTAACTAAAATTTTCTACCCTTTCATATACTAAGAAATGTTTCCTAATTAAAAACACAGTTTATTACAAGACATGTGAAGACAACATATAGTGAAATGAATTTTAATTGTTGTGCTGTGACTAAAGTAAAGTTCTCAAGGCTGCAATTTAACATTCCAAGTTCTCCCTTCCATCTTTATTGATTCTTAAGATTTTGCACAGAAACTCTTTGGGGGCTAGAACAGCAGTAATTGCATCACACTGTTTTCCAAGACTTCAAGTTTCAAAAGCAAACTCTTCAAAAAGTACAGTTCTTGATTTGATTAGATACAGGGACAAAAATATAGCACATACTTGAAGGTTACATGTTCTACAAATGATGGCAATATTTTCCTTGGGAGAGTACAGTTTGTTTTCTTGTAAATACTCAAAAAGGCTCAACTTCAAGCAGTAATAAACACAAGCAAAAGTGATTTAACCCTTAAAATAAATATTCAGGAAAACCTCTCTGTACATACAAGTGAAAGAATATGTAACACTTTCACGCTAAAAGAAAAAATAAAGATTTTGTTCATATAAGCAGCTGAAATCTGCTGTTCCAGCCCAATGTCCCCAGTAAAGAAGGGAGGCACAAACACAGGTGACTACTGTAGCTCACTATCTTATGGCCTTTTTGGACAGGGACATCATCACCATCATTTTTAAATCCCTTTTCTTATATTTATTACAGCATGCCAAATCCTTTGGCATATGTGATGGCCTTCAATAATCTCTCTTTAAGCTTTTCTTTGCTTGAGTACTCCGGGAGCAAAAGTACATTAAAGCATGTGTGAGATGTAGGTAACCTGTGGGGAAAACAAGAAAAGAGATTCAGATCTGGGAACATGGAGTACACAGAGAAACACACCATTATTTCACAAACCCGAAGCAACTGAAGAGAATCTACTCTGCTTAAAAAGTCACCTTCCAGATTTAGCTAAGTTGTGAAATTAATAACACAGATTGTGCTTACATTTATAAACAAAGCAGCAAAATGTAGATTTGATTTTTTTTACCTCTCTGTATCTGGGCCATTTTTGGCTATGATCATCTTTAACTTTCCAAGTCCTCCCACAGGGGCTCTGTCTGTGCCTGTTGTAAACTGTAAGAACAGTCTTTTCTGTTCATCTGTAAATGAATGGACTATTTCCCAGAATTCCCTATCAAAGAAGAAATCAAAAAGTAAGTAAAGTGAAAACTTCCCTTGGTATAAAATAAGACTTCAAAAGTAATTGAATTTTGCAGGTTTAGTAATTCTAATTGATCTTAACATCAAGTTTACAAGTTGCATTTGTAAACCAAAAGTAACAGTAATTTACCAATTGATGAGATTCAGAAGTAGAAAACAGAAATATTACCAAAACACTGCAATTTAACTATTTTAAACATTAATTCATCTGGTAAGTGATCTGCAAATATTCTTCCTATTTGCTAAGGAATTATATAGGTTCCACTACACTCTATTTCTACCACCTTCTCAACACCACAGTAAACAAATGCAGGTGTTGTGGGAGGTTTTCTGCCCTGGAAGGAACTGTTTAAGTAGTTGGCAAAGCCTAGAGGGCCAAAGAGTCACACTTCTCTGACCCTTCTCTTCAGACTTCTCTAGTCAAATGGGACAAGAAGGTAAAAGCAAACACTGAATGTACTCCATTTCTAATCAGAGAAGAAAGTTCTACACATGCAACCTATTCAAACAATTCTGTGTTTGTGCCTTTTTTTCCCCTTTAAACAACAGCACAGCAGTTTTAATTTGTTGAAAGAGCTCTGTTTATACAGGGGATTATTTAACTATATGGTATAAGAGAAGGACAAACACACCCAGGGAAAAATCCCTTTTAAGCTTTACCCAAGTTCACTGGAAACTAAACACAACTTTCATACCTGCTGCTCTTTTCTAATGGCAGTACTTCAGTAAAGTGAAATTATACATAGGATAATTGCATCTCCAGTACCACAAAAATGCTCTTACAATATTCAAATCATTATGAATAAACTGGCATGTAAAGAGCTTTTAACCTTTTAGAAATTAGAAAAAAAAAAAATTACCTAATAATTAGAGAGTCTCTTGTATAGCCACCATCATATTCTGTAGTTTCCTCTAGTGCTTGAAAATCTAAATTCTGTAAGAAGATGACATTTTTTTAAAATGACCACTAGTTATATACTTAGGATCAGAAAAGCTCCACTTTCTGGTGTACATTGAGGATTCTTACCCTACTTCCACAAATAAGTAATTCAATTTCCTCTGGTCTAAATAAATATTTCAAAGGAGATTCATTGGTCACCATGTGGAATCCTCTCCGAAAGGCCTTGAACTGCTTTTCTACTGATTTATTGAGTATATAGTCAGCATACAGATTGACAAATTCCTGTAAGGAAACAATCCCCAAAAAAACCTTAGTACTTCAAACACATGCCACTAGAAGTATCTCTGCAAAATACAAGATCCCAAAATACACTTAATTCTGCAATTCTACTTAGATTATCTGGGCTCAGCTTCTACCCAGCAATAATGAAGAGCAAGCTTCCAGTACTTCCCAAACAGGTCAAACACCAAAGCAGAAGGTATGCATGCACATATCAATGCTTCCTCCCAAAGAGAAACCTTTTCTGCTTACAGCTACACTGTACTATAGCAATTTTTAAAGGCTTTTTAACTTAAACTGTAGAGCAAGACCAAACCTTTATAGAGCGCTACCTAATGCTACATAGAGTATTGAAAAATTATAAATTAGGTTAAAAAATATCTGGGTGTACCTTTCTATTTTCATTTGTAATAGGAATTTTATCACCGTTTTCTTTTAAATCATGCATCATTGGATTGCCAAAGAGATCCGTGTGAGAGATCTGAAACGTTATCATCATATCATCTTCCACACTTCCTTCATACTCCAGTAAGTCTCTCAAACTCTGGTAAAGAACCTAAGAGGGTAAGAAACACATGTCTGTCATACAGCAGTTTCAGTAGATTTCACTAATACCAGAAGACATGAATCTTCCTAAACACAATGGTCAGACCTGTAGCTTAAGAGCCACTGATGACCTCTCTCTTTTAACTCTTTTCAAACTCTTTGCTTTTGGCATCCAGAACATGTTACACTAGTAAGTTGAACATATACATGTTAAAAATCAAAGAAAATGCTGTATTTTATATCAGTTAAAATTCAAGCAGCAGGCTTTTATCTCCTACATCTTGACTTAAGACCAAGGAAACTAGGAAGTAATCCTGAAGCAACACAGATGGGGCAGTCAAAGTATGAAAACGTTTATGCACACACTCAAATATAAACAGAAGTCAGAATTTGCCAAGTGGAATCTGAAATTACCTGTAAGAGTTTGCTCCATGCAAAGGAGCAACCAGCCTCCCTTCCTGCTATGCCTTAGAAAAAAGCCCAAGACTCTTGGAAACCAAAGGCTATGCAGAAAAGCAACAATTATTTGGCTGACAGGTGTAGGACTCAAGAATGCAAATGAAGGTAAAAGGAACAACTGTGTGCAACTATATTTTCATAGTGAAGCAGAATTAATAAATTTTAAGTGTTGAAAATTTACATGTACAGCCCATCCTCTCACTATCTGTATCCTTTCATTTCTTCTACAGCACCTTTAGATGGCTGGACTTGGAACCATTGCTGATGGGAGCTGGTGAACACCCTATCCTTCATGCTCTACAGCATTAGACAAAGCACTGCATGCTTGACTACTGCAAATTTTGTTCTTGGTTTGAGAAACTCTGAAGTGTTTAAGTTGTAGCAGAATACAGAGAGTTTGGAAAGCATTCTTTTAGAAGAAGATTATGTAGGTGTTAGAAGAAATGTAAGAGTAGGGGAGGAAAACTAAGAAATGCCCCAACTGCCCTGCTCCACAGAAATAAATCCCCTTCTGCCATAAAGCGTTTTGAGCATATAATAAAAATGAGAGGAAATGGTGCCCTGTGTATTTCTCAGCACCATTTTCTAAGGAAAGTGGTCAAAGCTGGTGTGCTCTTTGTAGCCATTTGAAGCAAGATGAATAACCTGCTTTTTGATTATGCCTTCCTCATTTTCTGATCAAACAAAAACAGAAAGCCAGTTCTTTTTAAACAGTATATTTTACTAATCTTTTTTGATTAGCTGCTTATGAAAAGGGAAATGTCCCACCATTTGGCATGAAGCACAGTAATAACCCATACTAGCTAGCATGAGGGAAAGCTGCTGGTGATCCTTGAAGTTGGAGCACGGCCCAGACATCCTGCATACATGCTTCTATGCTCTACCTACTAAGGCATGAGCATGGCTTAGTTTTCTTGTACAGCCACTGGCTGAGGAGGGGTGGGGAAGATGGACACTGGTCACTGCTCCCCAGCCACAGGAATATCCATCAACTGCATCCTCTGCCTGTTGGCTTTAGACAAAATCCAGTATGAGCATCCCACCTTTACATCTCTACTGTTGCTTTTATATTTTTTGTGGGAATTACTTCTGCAAATAAACAGCCTAATTTTAGAAGGCTCTTTGGGAAGATACTATTAATAATAGTTTCTGCTTTATGGTGCTTAGTGCTATTAAGCAATTTAGGCAGCATGTGAAAAAACAGGATAACGCCTTACTGATACCCAGCCCTATTTCTTGGCTTAAAGATTCTGCCTCCTCCAAACCAGATGCAATAAAAGGTTTGATTGCTTATGAATTTATCTTGACAAATACAGACTCTTCACACAAGTCACTGGTTATTTCACTTCCACTTCTAACAGTGATCTTGTGTTTAACTGATATCAAGTTACAGTATAGAAAATGCATTAATAAACTCAAAGAACATAATGAACTTACAGGATGAGAGTCTGCCAGATCACGGAAAGTTCCTTTTTTGCCCATTAGCTTCCTGTAGACAACCATGGGAAAATGTACATCCAGTATACAGTTATTGTAAATAGCCAGACCCAGTACTATGCCAATCAGTGTAAATTGACCCTCAGTTTCAAAAGAGGACGGATTAAACCAAAACAGTTTGGTAGATTCATCATATGTGAACATCCCTGTAAAAAATGATGTTGAACAATAATGATTACATTTCAATAAAAGTGACATGTAAAACAACACCATTATAAACCCCTTTGCATTAGAATGCCTCTAAAACATGTTTAACTTAATATACTGAATTTAATAGCAAAAAGAAGCTACTTACCTCATGATAACTGGAGCTGCTGTTACATTACCACTAAAAGTGTGTGGGAGACCTGCAATACAACACCCCGCAGTGTCCCACTCAAGCTGTACATACACAGCCTTTCATCCCCTTCCATTACTGAGGAGCCAACAGATTCTAACACTGATAAGTACAGTGCAAGAAAAGAACACAATCAAAGCCCACACAGATGAAATAATCCTGAAGAGCTCAGACTACTACAAAGTGCTGGCCTTTCCTTGAAAGCTTTGCCAGGCCAGCTCTAGCAAAGGAACACGACTAGATGCAGACTTACTGCTGAAGTGGAAGCCATAATGTACATGTAGCAGGGAACAACCATCACATAAGCTCTTAGAATTAGATGCCCAACAGATTTTTTTTTTTTAAAGTTTGTTTAAAGGTACTCAAAGTCCACTGTTGCTGATGCTATCACACACCCTAACTAGAGGGGAAAACAAAACTCTTGTTTCACAGGAGGGTTTGCAATTTTAACAGCTTACCACTGTTGAAAGGGAGAGGTTTTGCTTTGTTCCCCTATCCCTTCATCTGACTCAGCTCTCTATTTCAGTTGACCAGTCTCCTGCCAAGTTCACAAGCTGAAGTACTTTCACAGGAAGCTTCAACAAACAGCTGAACTGGCACATGCCAGGAGCTGGAGGGAACAGGTAGGTCTCAGACAGAAGAAAGGCAGAGTCCCTTAACCTTTGGGCTGTAGCAAGCCACTAGATTAGCTCTTCCAAACCCAGAGTTTCTGTCCAGACCATTTAAATTAGTCCCACAGTAAAATCCATTGCTTAACCTGACTAGATACCAAAGCAAGGTAAGTGCATAACCCACAGACTTAAGGCAAGAGAGAGAGAGACGACCCTGGACAAGTATAATCCCAGTGACCTGTTTCTTGTACAGCTAAGTCTCCTCATTTCCAGGCAGAACCTAGGGAAAAGTGCCCAGGCTCCTTCCTCACAACACAGAAGTTAGACGTATGTCGTCAAGAACAGGACCCACATTTGTCACAAGGATTTGCCTTGTTACCTCTGGAAAGATCGGCTTATTCGCAATCTATGGAGATGTTCAAATTGATTACAGAGCCACACAGAGTCACAAAATTAACTGCTAAGAGTGGAAATAAAATGTCACCTTCAGCCAACAGATAAAGCCTGAATTCTCACTCCATGTAAGGAAATGACCTGCAAACTCATTCAGAGAATCTGGCTGTTCCTCAAAATTGAAGTTTTTCTCAGTAAGGGGCTAGAACAGGGCCAGCTGTTAGGGGAGAGTACAAGTAACAGGCTAACATATCAGATAAAGGAACTGGGAATCAGAAATGGATGAGCAACACAAGCATGTGTAGTAGAAACATTAAATAGAAGCCTGTATTCCACTTTCTGAGTTGAGTGAAGTAACTTCTGCATTACTGGTACAACAAAGGCAATGACTTGAACTTTCTGGAAGATGATGGGAGAACTAAACAGTCAAAACAACTCCAGAAAATGCCTAACAATAAAGGACTAACAGTCTACCCAGACCCACAACTAGAAACACTTTAATGTGAAATACAGTATTTTATTCACTGACCAAAATGAAGACTATACGTTAAAATAATGATAAAACACCAGAAGAAACTGAAAGCTGCAATGAGGAGAAAACGATTGCATAGTCTTCCTAGGAATACTAGATGAAGTTGTTCCTTCTTCTCATTTAGTGGGGTGACTCTTGGTCATAAATCTAATATTTTGTCAGAGTTGCCTCCTTTGAGGAAAACTTTAAGGTAGTTTGCTATTATATTTCAAGTGTTTTCCTATTAAAGAAACTGTTCCAGCAGTAAATATCAGTCCACACACAGCTGTCAAAGGACAGACATTTTAAATTCCATTTAAAGGATTTCCTCCTTCTCTGATAAATGAAGTTTTTACAAAATCAAGTCACACTTGGTATATATGGTGTGTAAACTGTAACACTGCAGCTCATGTTAACAGGTGCAAGAGAAAAGAAGACTGCAAGCTACATTCTCTGCTTTCACACATTTATGCCAAAAGCCAATAAATGCCATTTTTTTTTCTCCGGAGATGTATGAATACAAAAAGCACACATAGTTTTTTGTATTTTGAATACACAAGTAAAATTTGAACCATGCATGCACACCTAATCTATTACCCACCTTTACACACAGGGAGTGTATATACCCTGGCTGGATCTTAGCTGAATCAGACTTCAGTTACTAAATAGGAGTATTTCAATACAGACACCCCACACATCATCTGCTTTAACTCAAGTCAAAAACGTATTTTTGCATTTGACCAATGAAGTTGTATTTTTAAGTACATACATTTCCTTATTTTACCATAATTTGTTCCAAGTAACCTTGCCTATACCAAACTTCTCCAACTTAACAGCAGTTTTCAGATTATGTATGACCTGTCTATGGATCTGGGTCACTTGTTACAAGAACTGGTTTGTGTACAGTGAAGGGCAAAGTGACAAGGTTCAGACTGTTACTGATCCTGGGGATATCCTTTAAGTTTATCAAAATGAATTTTTGTGTTTCTTCATTAATTCCCTAAGCTACAGACCCCAGAACAGCTGTTTTTTTCTTTATAAAACAGTTCAATGAATGCAAATTAACAAATGGCCCTAAGCTGTTGAGCTTCTTTAATGGAAGCCACTGCAGGAACTACAATGTGACATCACACCTAAACTATGAGATTAGTATAGGAACCTGGTAGGACTCATTTCTATTCTAACACAAAGTGTTCACAATGTTTTATTCTTTTCAGAGCAGCAGACAAGCTGCATATTAAAAGCAGCATGCCCTTACATGTATAAAGCTGGAAGCATAAAAGACTGAGACAGGGAGCAAGGGGGGAAAAAAAAAGAAAGAGTAAGATAGAAATGTGTCTGTTAAAACACAAATATAAGAGTTTGTCTCCTGGTTCTTCACTATGATCAAATTTGACATTACTGCCACACTTTGGATCTGTACCCCTTTTAGCAGAACTGAGGCTTTCAGATTTTTTAAGGTGGAGGAAGGGGAGTAAATAACTCAGAAACTCACCATAGTCCTACTCTGGTTTTACTGCAGAAGCTCTTCCTCTTTGGTTTGATTACTAATTCTAGAAGCTAATCACAAAGTGAAGTGAGGAGAAAGGTGAGAACAAACAAAAGGAACCCTGCAAAGAAACCCTACACTACTGATTTATATCTAAACAAACATTGGTAGCTTTCACTAACTATACACAGCTATTCTTTTCATCCTTCCTCCTCAGGAGGATGACTGATGACAACACAGGGAGCCTCAAAGGGTCAAGTACCTCATGATCACCAAGGAATCTGGAGAGCTTCAGAGAGAAGCAGCAGCAGATAACAGAAAGGCACTTCATAAACACAGTACAACCCAAGTTGGAAAGGACCTTGAGAGATCATCTGGTCAAACCTTTCATGGGAAAAACTTGATAAATTAGTAAGTTATTAGAACACATACCAATATCTGGATTGAAGATTTCTTCCACAACCAGTTGAAAAAATTCTTTGGAAACACCTCCTTCATCTACCCCTTGCTCTCCTTCAAATTCAACATACAATTGCTTCTTCAAGTCTGCAGGATTTTCCATGGCAATCATCTCTAGCTATTGAGTGAACAGATAGAAGTACTTAATTAGTAAAACTCTTTACTAGAAAAGTCAATTATGTATCAAATAGTGAATTCAAAACTACTCTCTATACCCAAGAAGAAGGCAAATATAAATCCCAGCAGTAATATCAGATACCAATAGCAATGCTAAATCACTCTAAGTATGTATTAGAATTTGGGGATTAATGCAGCAAGAAACTTTCCACAGATCTGATCTTATAGCCAATTCAGTCTGTTAGGTTTCTCCATTTCTATTCTTTTAAGCACTAATTTTAAATAAGCTAGCATTGTGTTGCACAGAATTCACTGAAAACAGTATGAAAACAAGATCTATTAGTAGGATACTTAAATTCATCTGACAATGAAAAGTGACTGCAATCTGATCTGCATGCTTGACAATGAACATTTTGTGAGGGATTACGCAGATATGTTTTCAGAACATTCATGTGATAATTGGCAGTGGAAGACAGAAGACCAGCCTTTGATTAGTATTTGCATCTCACAAAGAGCTGGGATAAAAAAACCCACAAACAGTAATATTACAGTCAAATCGATCCCCTTTCCTCTTCACTCTAATGAAGAAGTCTCAGAGATGTTTTCCTCTTATTTCTTCAGTGCCTTTAGAGAGACCTACTGCATTACTTCCATGAAAATGATGATTCAGTTAAGGTCAAATAGAACTTGTAGCATTTCATAGGGAAGAGTTTCAAGCCTACATAAAAGGCCATTACTGGTCTTTATCCTTTCAGTACATCGAAAGTTATGCAAGAATATTTTCCAACTGACAGGAAATATGCTGCTTAAGAACATAGACATATTGTTAAAGCTATGCAGCGTGATTACAGTAAACAGACCTACGTGACACAGAAAACTCAACAGCAGTAAAGTAAGGCACAGATGGACCTGTACATTCCTCTACAAAGACCATAACACTGATGAGCTTTTCCTCTAATCTGGGGTAGCACACACTGTCCTTACCAGCAGGTGTTAACATGCCAAGCCATTTCTTTTTATTTCACTACTCTACCTTATCCACACACATGCCAGCATACCCTTTACATCCCAAAGGTTTTTTTTAGAGAGGTGTAAGGGAAAAAAGGAAGCAAAGAGAGATAATAAAGGCAGCAGTAACAACACTAGCAACCCAAAACGACACCACCAGTGAGACATTTTCTCCTGGTAACTGCCAAGTCAGCCAGCCCTGTTTCAAGGAGCACAGCAGAAGCAGGTAAGTACCAGAACTAAGGTGGTTAGTTAGGGTCACGAGTCTGAAGAATGAAGCTCCTCAAGTAAAAGAGGTACATGGAGAAAGAACTGCACTAACTGGTACTGAAAACTAGTATCAGAAAGACAAGGAGTGTAAGTCCACAGCATACAAAGCTCATTTATAAAAAACCCATGGAGCTAAGCCATGAAGACCTCAAAAATGACAGCAAATCTTATTAGCTGACTGAGATATACACTAAAATCACAGGAGTATCTGGAAAACTTAATTATGTACTACCTAAGGTATTTGGTATTCTATTGCAAATCATTTGCAACGAACTATTTTTGCCCTTAAGGAGACCAAGTAACATTTATTCTTTGAAATTCACTGTATTTATCAACAATACTTCTGCAGCAAAATCACACTGCAATTCCCCTCCCCATTGGTATTCTCTCCACATGCTTTCCCCAATAGTGCAGTTTTTCATCTTGCCTTTCATGTAAATCTTAAAATTATGCATCTTACAGATGGGTAAAAAAATTTTTGTTCCTGAACAGGAGGACAAGGAAGTTCCAAGACCATGTTCCAAAGACAATGGAGACTTAAAAATGGGGTAGAGTAGCATTTAAGACTCCAAGTACAGGTCATACATTCAAGCTGGACAGACAGAAGTTCTCCTATTTGAACCCTTCCACTTACAACTAGCACTAATAATGCTTTGGGATTTTTCTCCTATCATGACTTTGTTTGCTTTGTAGTATTTACCACCAGTGATTTACTATTTTGCAAATTTTATGAATTTTGACAAGTTCTGAGAAGATGCTGCCTCTGCATATTTTTGGGACAGCAATCCTTTGTCATAGTGTAAAGGCTCTCATGTCACAGGGAGTTGTCTCCTATTAAGGAGAGTGCACACATTTATACATAAAAAGCAATTAAAAAGTATTTCAAAATGGCTTTTTGACTGAGAACTATTCTGCAATGACTGAGGCAAAGGAAAAGCAGTATTAAAAAAAGGGGAAGGAAACACTCTGAGTCACGCAGGCTGGGCAGATTGGAACAGTGTGCTGGATGTCTCCAGGGAAGTCAAAGGATTACCAAAAAGCCAGTATTTTGAGTCAAAGCACAAGGTTCCTAGAAGCAGAGTCTATAACCAGGAGAACGATGCTAAGCTGCTCAACTGAAGGTTGTGGTTTAGTGGTTCCTTTGAACATCCGCGTCTCAACACTGATACTTCACAAGAGAACTCAGTGGAAAACACAGCATCAGTCCTGACAGTAGATAGGCACCCCAGTTCAGCAGAACTGCAGCAATGTTTCTGTAGCAAGGAAGTACTAACTTCAATTTCAGGTTGTTTGGGTTTTGTTGCCTTTTTTTTTTTTCAATAATCAGAGCTGCCTCAGTCTTGTTAACACAGATGCTGCTGGATAAATCCAACCTATGTGTGTGTGAATTCCTGAAGTTTTAGAAGCTAATATGTTTTCTGTCAGGATTGCTTGACTGGCCAAACAGCTGAAGCCGTTACATTTTCCCAGGACTTCTGAAAAGCATGGGTGTAGCATGTCTGAAACAGCAGCATAAAAAACTGAATATCTACAAACTGAAAAGCATAAAGCTGAGGCAAAACTTTTTTTTATAACGAATATCTGCATTTTATTGGCTGAAAGATGATACTGTGCCACAGCAAAGTAGATTGTATGATTTGCTTTGCTTATAGAACATTGTGCTTTCCTGAAAGACAGGAAGCTTCCACTGGAAGACAAATATGACACTGTTTAAGAGCTTAATGTAACACCGGAGTTCAGCCACCTTCTTAAAATTGATACTAACTGAACTAATCTCTTAAATGAAAAAAACTTCCAAGTTTTAGCAATGCTCTTTTTAAGGCAGTGGCACAAATATTTTCCACACTAGAAGGCAAAAACTACACTAACACAAGTAATTGAAGCTTGAAAGTACTAGTACTTCATGACATAAGTCTGTCACTACGCTGCTCTGCAAAATGGCACAGGGAGTAATACATCAAGTGGCTAAGAAGCATCCTCTCCAGTGGTACTTTGATTCACACATGTTCACCAGCAGAGCTGGCACATATGTCAACACAGCCACACACAATCCACATGCAACTCAGGGCATGGTTCCAAATGAACAGGCAGAAACATTTATTTATTCTCAAAGAACCTCAAAGCTCCTGGAGGACTTTGTTGTTAATATACTATGGAGGAATCTGCCTACTGGTTTCAGTTGTCGTGTAAGAGTTTTTGCTCATCAATATATTCAGCAGAGTCATTTACAAGCAAGAGAGGCTTGCTGCCTGTCAGTCATCCACAGTCAATGTGAAATTTGTTAAAGTGAGTTTCTGGTTTGTGAGCAATTACCAGCCAGAGCCTGCTGGAGGAATCCACCACGTTTTCACTTACAGAACTTGTGTGTCACAACTCACACCCTTTAAGTTACTGCTACCTGAGTGTAAATCCACATATGATCTGGGGGCACAAGAGTAAATTCAGATGAAGGGGATGAAAGAAATAGCTGTTGGGGATGAAAGGGCAGAAGAGGGTATTTAAGGACAAAATAGTTTCATTATTACTACATACGTGTAACATGACTCAGCAGTACAGATAACCTCTTAAAACTTTCAGACAAAAAAAAGCAAGCATGTTAACTGCATTCAAGAGCTGCAAACTGAGTTACAACTCCCAAATGTAAGGGTTCCTTGACAGAAGTGAGGACTAGCACTTTACCAATTCCAATATTCCCTCTCTGTCCCCCAGTGACTTTTCATACTAACATACATGCAGGTAAGTATAAGATACCAAGAAAGCGTGTTTCATTAAGTCTATTTCAATAAAAATTTTCTGATGCAAGTTTGATACATGGAAATAAACTGAATACAATGGATCTGTAAGTAACATTTTTCCTTAGATGTGCGTGTTCCAGGTAGAGCTGCAATTCTCTTAATAAGCAACTTTAAACAAGTTATTGCTTCAAAGGTATTTTAAAGCTAGTGCTTAAAATTCTCAAGAGAATAAAATCCTACAGTAATAATAAAAATAACAATAGTAATTTACCAGTGCTCATATTTTTTTCAATGAAGTCCAAAAAGTAAGACATGTACATATGAAAAAGTTTAAATCTGAAGTACTGATAAGACAAAAACAGCTCGATGATAGCTTAACTTGACTAATTAGCAGAAAAAGACTGGTACTTAATCCATTTGCAAAATAAATTATGAAATTATAAAATTATAAAAACCCAACACCAATAAGGAAAATACAAATAACACTCTCAACCCCAGGTTAATCAATATTTCTGAAAATGCTTTTAGCAGGAAGTTATCAGTTATTCCATACATAGCCAAAAAGGTCTGCACTGACTGTTCTGTAAAGACACAGGTCTAGTGACATGAGCATGCAATTACAACTTAAATCTAAGTACTGAAACCCCAAAAGTAAAAAATGTAATTCAAAGGTAAAGCATAATGACTCACCTGTAATTTAAGCATATTTGGAAACATTTTGCCACTGAACAGATCTAAGAATGTTTTTACTAGCGAGGACTATTATCTTGGCAAGATCTTTCCGATAGTTTTCGGTGAGACCCTTCCAAAGTTCAGTACTGCACCCAAAGCTGCAGCCATCACTGATGCACACCCACAAAACACAGCTTTTGCTTAGGCTTAACTCTCTCAGTGCTGCTACAGAAGCACGCAGTACCAGTCTTTGGCTACAATCAGAGACAGAGCAAGTTACTTTAAGGATTAGGGCATAAGACTGAAGATCTTCCTCCAGATCTATTCCACACCAATTAGGAAATGGAAACAAATTGTGAAAAATACTGAAAAATCACTCCTCAACCTGCTACAAGAAGTACTTGTAGCTGCAGCATGACATTCTTAAACAGGTCAGGCACTTGTTGAAGAAGCTACAGGATGACAGTGTGGAACAGTGTTTACCAGCACCAGCAGGTTTGCAGCTTAGAGACTTCCTGAGATCTGTGTATGGGTCACATCAAAATACCTGAAATACCCATTACCTTTCAAGAGATCTTTCTGTCACAAAGAGCTACAAATTCAGAGCAAAGATAAATACAATTTTAAAGGTAGACAGTGTGGAAAAAAATGTGTTCCTTTTTTTATAAGCCTGCTTCCTGGTAATAGGACTGGGTACTACCAGTCAAGAAAAACAGTATTTCCCAGTCAAATCCTCTTCATCATCTTTTTTACCATTAAGAGAACCTTACAATCTCTCTGAGGAGACCCTGAACTCTCCAAAGGTATTTCTGTTGCAACCTTTTCGATATTAAATTAAGAAACAAAGGAAGGAGATTTAGGCACCCCATAGTAAACAGATTTTATCGTTCCATTGGCTCCTTTCTTAGCTCCTAACACTTCTTCAGGAACATGCAAAATCTCTTCTTTCAGCAGGGATACTTCCTATCATCAGTTGAAATGTATCAATAGTTAAAAGATGACTTCTGCACCCAGAACAGCTACCTTGCTGCACCTGTTTGAAATGTCACACACAGCTCCCCTCCTCCAGCCGCAATGCTGAGTATTCATGCATGTCTGTTTCACCAGAGAGAATTTATTTTCCACTTTCAAGAAACTCCTGGGTTACACTTGGCCTGACTAACACTACAGTTCAGCTCTTGAATTGACAATTTTATCTTTTTCCGTCCCAGAATAAACAGTTTAAAGTTCTTACTCTCTTTGGGGCTTTGACACAAGTCAGATCACCATAATTTAGCATATTCTGGCACCTTAAATTAACAGGCATGAGAGGATCCATGGCAACTACCCAGGCACCTACTTAGACTTCTAGGCTGTGCAAGGGCTGCTGCAAGAACATCACAATTTAAATTAGTATGTTTGAGCTTAATCTGATGTAAATTACCTAAATTTCCAACAGATCAAGAGTGTGCAGAGTGGTAACCACTGCAGCCCTGTTACCCTATAGCAGCTGCACCATCCTGATGTTCCACAAGCTTTCTAAGCAAGACTCAAATTTTCTTTTTTTGTCTTCAAAGATTTCTGTTTCATTCCACAAGAAGCAATACCTGGAAGAATGCTTTTTCTCATATTTACAGATTTTCCTTCTCAGCACCATGAGGAAGAAGCTGTGCTTTCTTCTCTCTGCTGGACTTGGCATTAAGATGAAGATCTCCCTAAAATTAGCTCTCATCCTCTTTTAGCCCATCCTCTCCTAAAGAAATAGTAGGGTTCCTCCCTTTTTTCCAGTGTTTATGTATGCCAAAGCTGAACAGTCAAAGAAAAACTCCACCACATTAATGTGACAAAACATAACTGGATATGACCTAAAGTCTGATAGGTAGTGAAATTATAGAGTACCCTTAAATTAGAAAACTGGTACACAAGAGGCTTTAATTTTAGAGCAGTAAATTTCTCATTTGCCCAATATAAAATTGGATTTACAGACAGAAGCCATTTCTGCATTGCAGTTTTATTTTTCCTGTTGGTACCAGAGACAAAGTTTTCCCTGGTAAGTCACAACAGCAGCAGTTCCCGTGAAGCAGCGAACCTGTCTGGGGATTCACAGGTACACAGGAAAAATCAAGATGGAAGCTCATTTAGGGGGTCTCTCAGTTGGCCTTCAGTATCAGTTAATGTCCCCATATTTAATTAGAAGTAACAGATAGGTTGAGGGGCAAAATCAGCTACTTTCCCCAGAGTCTCTCTGAATACCTGTCCAGTTCTTTAGCAACAAGCTCTAAAGCCATGGTTATATTTAAACTTTTGCAAATAGTTTTAGTTTAGTAACAGAATACAGAGAAAAAAACCTTCTGAAAAATAAATTTAAGCAAAAAATAAAAGGGAGAAAGAGTCCTAAAATTAAAGGACATATTTATAGAAAAAAGTTTACTGTGAAATATTCTGTACAGTTTGTATCCTATATAATTCTTATGTTCCAAAAATGTGAACAAATGGATTTAAGTTTTACTTTAAGAAGCCAACACCTTCAGAAAAAGGCTGCTCTCATTTCTCAGGTATTAACAGGTCTACCTTCTCCATCACACTAGTATTTGCACCAAATTGCAGCAACACTTAGAGAAGTGAAAAGTTCTAATTATTGTGCAGGCCCTCCACATGCTTTAGATCTAGAAGTTCAATACTCTACGAGAAGATTACACAACTGAGAGGTTTTAATTCCAAGTTCCACCTGAAAACCCTACTATCACGAAGATGATCCAAGAGAGTCCTGAGGACAAAGAAAATGTATGGAAGCACAAAGTTGGTCATTCTCACCAATATGAGCTGTAACAGTGCCGAATCTGTTATTGGGGAATAAGAACTATTTGACACTTTAAAACACTGATGTCTGCAACCATTCTGAGTAGAAGTGGTTCTGCTGAACATACAAATCTTCAGCCGCATGCCTAGAATTCAAACTTAATATGGTAACTCTATTTGAGTTTCTTCTAGAGGGACACTAGTAAATAACCACTGCATTCACACGCAGCCCTTCTCAGCCAGCCAAAGCCCACTAGCCTGAACCAGTCAGAACCAACAAACCCGAGGCTCTGAGTTGCTGCAGGACTTACCCGCACGAGCGCATCGTCTATGATGTGATCTCGTCTCACTTTCAGTCGCAAATAGGGGTTGAGCTGCTGGCCCTGAACTAAGCTGTAGAGCACAGTTATGCGCCTTTCACTGTACATCCGGATCCTGTTGTCATAATACAATCCCAGGTTCTTGGTAACAGCATTCAATATGAAGGGACAGGTCATAAAAGAGAATTTATTTTCCGTTTCTACTTTGAAGAAAGTGTAGTCTTTGTCCATTTCTAGAACATCATTCAGTGGTTCATTAATAAACTCTTCAAAAGGAATAAGTGGTTTTCTGCAATCTATAGTTTTAACACCGAGTTCAGTTTCCAGTGGGTCCACTCGAGGACCTTTTTTATTTCTTCTTTCCTCACCCAACAGCTCTTGAAGAGTTAGTTCACTTGATTCTGGGATGGGTTCTTCATCTTCTTCTTCATTATGATCTGTATCCACATCCCCTCCTACGACATTTGCATAGTAAACCATTTTCAAGCACTTTGAAGCAGCAACAATGGCATCATCATCATTGACTAGGTTACGACTATTGAACTCGTTGCTTATGACTTTGTAAGTGATAAGCTGCTGAAATGTTTCCATCATTCTCCGAATTTGGTCTGCTCTGTACTTAGACCACAACCTGACCAGTTTTGCTTGAGCTGCAAGAGGCAGTTTGCTCATTGCTTTGCAAAACAACGGTAGAGCCATTTCCAGGTATTCGGGGCTATGAAGATTGCCATTCTCCATAACAATAATAAACAAATTCAGATAGTTAGGATCCCGAGAGTACACGTTATGGTAAGTCAAGTCACATTCCACATTAGGTGACAAGTACACAAGTGCATTTAAAAAGGCAGTTTCTATTTTTTCATTAGAAAGTAATCTATCATAGACCCGTCTGACTGCTTCAATGTCTACAGACACTTCATCCGGGCCTAGCTTTTGGAGGTTATTGTCTCCCTGTGTGCTGTCACCTACTCTTGATGACGAAGATGACGATGCGCCTGAATCTTCTTCCATAGCAGCAGCCGAACAGGCAGCTTTTTCCTTTTCATCTTCATCTTTGTCTTCATCCTTTCCTTGAAGAGACTTCAGCTCCTCCTTGGTGTGCTGCTTAGCTTTTCGGAAACTCTGTACCAATGCTTCAGCACTAGAAAACACTCTCCCAATCACCCGGATTAGAGGGGAATAATCCTCTTTCTCTCGACATAATTCAAGAATTTCATATATCTTGTCTTCTGTTAGAAAAGTCACATCTACAAAAAGATAAAGTATTAATTTTAAGATACAAATTAAAAAGATAGAATACTTGCAATTTGCTCTACCTGAGAAATCTGAGTATCATATTAACACTGGAAAAAAATGTCAGTGCTGTGTAAATTCAAGACAGATACCTTAATTAGCATGAAGAATTATGATTTTATTCATAGATGTCTATCAGCAAACATGCACAATGGTAAAACTGTTTTGCACTAATTAACTACATTTGGTAGTTAACAGTATTATATCATCTAAACAAGAGCAACTAAGATGTTAAAATTTTGAAAGACTTGAGTAAGACTGACAATACAGTCCTGGAATATCTATACAGTTAATGTATAAATCATTAAACTCTACACAAATTAAACCATATCTATCTCTTTTCAAACATAGCATATATGCGTGGACCTCACATCCTCTCCCTCTTAAAACCAGATCTTGAAGAGAAAAGAATTTTTGTTGTATATTAACAGGAATAGAAGATTTCTTATTTCTATTTCTGCAACCAGTTTTTTCTACTGAACTAAAAATCTTTCCCCAAAGCCACAACACATGCTCAAATTTATGCTGCCTTCTAAATTACAAACACAGTTGGACAAGTGGGTTATTTCTTTGTACATCGGGCCTCATCAAAACAAACAACTTGAGTATACTCAACAACATGCTGTTCAGATGAACATGCTGGTTTACACACATCATCTGCATGGGCTCCAAATACCTGTCTGTTGCCTCTCCTCCCCAAACTCCTGATGGGAAATAAGGCATTTTGTGGTCCACCTGTTATTTGAAAACTTCCTCTCTCTTCAGAAAAGAGTAGAAAACTATTTATGGCTTTCTATGCTACTTCTAAAATAGAACCCACAGATGCTTTCACGTCAGGTGATCATTTAGAGTAGGATTACTGCATGATCAGACCCTGAAAAGATGTTCTAGTTTAAGCAGATTCTTCTGAACTGACACAATTTAGAACTGAAACTGAATCTGTTTAATAGCATCTCTGTAGATCTAAAAGCCCCACATGGCAGCACTGTATTCAGCAGCCATGCTAGAACTACCTCTGCAGAAGCCTATCATTTGAACAATGATGGTTTTAGAGTATTTTGAAATGTGACTGCCTACACTAATATTCATTCCAAGCAGTCATTACATTAAAAGTACAAATTAAACAATACATAGACAGACAATGTTGATTTTTTGCAGAGCCATTCTTAGAGCACATGTAACACAGGAAAAGCTAAGATTATGCCATGCTACTGACTGCCAACTGATCTGAAGACAGTGATAAAATTTCAAAACAAAAATCAGTCCTGTTTAAGAACAGCAGCATTGAAAAATATCATGGAAGGATTCAAGCTTAGTGCAACATCTCCCATTTTTATCTGCTGCAGGGCACACTCGAGAAGCATACTTGCCTAAAAGAAATTTAACTACTGATACAGATGGTGTTCCATGCCATAGCACGTCAAAACAGGGACCACAGACCCACATTCACAGACAATTTAACAATATAACACATTTCAGATTTACAGTTACAGCAGGAAACACCCATCACTCTTTCAAAGGTTTTAGTGCTTAATGAATGAACCATGTGCTATTTCCATTTGAAATATTCAATACTACCATCAGCAGTTTTTTTAACAGTTTGAAGTCCTACCCCTATGACCATCCTCTAACTGAGCCCCACTTCTCCTTTACGGTAGTGAGAACAGCTGGAGGAAAGCACACATTAAGTGAAGCTCTCTTCTAGCTCAAGTCAGTTTTAGCTGACTTGTCTGAAGATGTCACATATGCCTTCTCCCCTCACACCTTCCATCCAGCAAAGCAAGCCTATCTCCTCTCAAACCTTGTTCTCAGTAATACTCCATGAATACCTGTACATGAAGTCAAGTTCTAGCAGCGATCCTTGACTGTCAGAATGACTGCATGTGATCTGTATATTGCCAAAACACTTTCTAATTAGGAAATTTACTATCTTTTCATTAACTCTTACAGAAGTTTTGTTATGATTGTGTCCAAAATTCCTGTCCACTAGTCTTCTCTGTTTCCCATTTAATGTTGTGCTGATCAAAGTTGAAAATAGCTTCCCAGGTAATTATAAGACTCATTTTGAAATGGTTCTCTCTGTATTACTACATTTATGACCTGTGTTTTTACATATATGCAATTTCTCCATTTCCTTATTCTTTTTGGACTGCCACCTAACATTTACTGAGATGCTGATAATGGCCTCCACATACATTTTTTCACAAAAGGTAATAGTCTTAGGGCTTAGCAACTTAGCACTACAGAAAAACAAATTATTTCTGAAGTGTATTTCTTCCAATGTATTTAAACTTTCCATCCTATGTCAAGCATAAAAGCAACCTGCACATTCTCTTTCTTGGCTTCCTTAAGCTTAATAGCAGTTTTCCCCAGTAACTGCTGCTGGACCTTAAAAGAATTTCAGAGCTCTAGAGTCCTTAGACATCATTCAACTCCAAGGATAACTGAGAGTCTCAGATGGGCTTTAAGAACACATTAATGTTCTCTGCCCATACAGCTACAAAGACAGGTCAGTACTTATGATGCTGCAACCAATGAAGTCCGAGACACTGCTTTAAAAAACAGACTGCCTCTGGAGATCAGTTGAGAAGACTCTTAGGTATCTATCTTGGGGAGAGAGGACAGTAGGGTCACAGAGAAGGAGGAAAATTCTGTCTCTGAACAACTCCATCAATACACATAAAACCAAAAGACAAATCACAAAACAGACCTAATGTGCCTCTTGTCTAACACTACACTGGCTCCCCTTTCCCCTCCCTACTGTTTGTCTCTGCTTACTCAGATCATAAATAATTTAGGAAAAAATTATCCTTGCATCAAATAAAGAACAAACTGATGCAGGTATTGACTGGAGTATCTTAGGTCCCTTGTAACACCATATTACGTTTTACTGCTGATTCTGTAGTGCTTTTTAATTCTTTGCTGTAAACAGTTTCACCACCTTTAACTAAAATGGATGAATCTGAAGCTGTGCTTATATTGCTGATTGCAACAATACTTGAAAAAGGTCTGCTCAAAGGTTAATGGCTACAATTTCATTTAGCTTGTGATTTTTGCTTGCACCATGGGTTCTGATGACAACTAAAATTAGTCTTGTAGCATGTTTTTACTATCCTAGAGAGTCTGAAAAGCTGAACAGAAGTGAGAAACAGACCTACAGAACAGTATTTCATTTTCACGGACTGGCTTAGAAGTCACTTTGCTTAAACTGTTTCCAGCTTAGTAGATGTATTGTCTATCATCACTGTTGTTCATCTGTTGAGTTTCTTAACCTAGAAACTAAAATTAGTCAAAGCATAGCTTTTATAACTCTGAAGAGTTATGAAACTAGCAGAACTAAAGCAGTCATACATCACTAAAAAAGCTCTCCATATTTGCAAACACAGCAACCTCAGAAAGCAAAAAATGCACATGGATTTTAACATAGTTGTGGTAAAGATCTGGATTTGGAATCACTGTTGAGCATTAATCCAGCCATTTTTCAAATCCATAGTAAAACATTTGCTTGCTTGTTGCACGTTACTGAAGAAGTCAGCAGAATACCAGCTCAGTAAATTCTGTAGGCTTATACTAGTGCACATTAAACGTCTCCTGTTTTAGGAAAATTCTAAAATATCACCTTACCTTTAAAGTCATCTCTTGGGCCTTGCATGTCCTTCTTGTTCATTTTTCTGTCAGTGCAGGAATTGTTATGGGCACCTTTGGAATTGTTTTCTAGGTAAGCTGAGCTCGTTCCTTTCTTGGAGGGATGAGGATCACAGAGTTTTGCATTAATCTTATAAAGCTCGAGGGCCTTAATGGCTGCTGCATTGTTATCCATACGGAGAAAAGTTGGACAGGAAGCACAAAATTCATTCGTGCAGGCTTCATTTCCACAGCCCTCAGTTAACTGGTGGTAGTAGCGCTCTATTAGATGCTTTGCAGCTGCTCGCTTCCTGTAGCAAACATTCAAACAGTAAGTACAAGGATTAGTAAGAGCTTTCACATACAAAGCTCATTCAAAAGCATCAGCAAGGCAGAGATTAGTCAGGCACTGAAACACAAGATTTCCAGTGTCAGAGGACGCATCAGGAGATTTTTTTTTCCAAATACAGGATTCTCATCTTGACAAATGCAAACATTTCTAACACACAATTTAATTTCTGGGTCCCATGTAAGTGAAAGGTAAATCTTGTTTATGCAGTTTTTAGCTTTACATTCTATTATTACAGTGGACACAATCTTGTTCAGTTCTGAACAATCTCAATTGTCACTGAAAAAGAGCAATTCAGATGCAAAGCAAGGCTGTGAGCGAAACAGGACCAGTTCTCATACAGGTGATTGAGTCCAATGAATAGTACTGAGGTGTATCTGCCATTGACAGGGGGAAGAGGCATGAAATACAAGTCATCCAAGCATTTGTTTAGTAATACTATCAATAATACATCAATAGGATATAAAAACTTTAGAAACACACATGATTTTTTAAAACAAGATTCCATATGACTAAGTTATCACATATTTCATTTATTTAAATCTGTAGGAAGAAATACTCCTTGGTTAATAAAATTGATGACAAAACCACGACTACAGTTAAGCTCAAGGCTGAACAGATCCCTCCTCAGCTTAATTAGGTACATGGTTCTATAAAAAAAAAAAAAGCTATTTGCTAAATCCTCACCTCTGTTCTGCAACGATGTTACTTGGCAAGTATTTTGAAGAATTACAAATGTATTGCTATACAATTCAATGTTCTCAGTACTACATATACACATACAAGAAAACTTAACTTGCCAATAAGGTCACCGACTTTTACAGAAATATGCAAATGGTAAATCTACAGAAAGATGCAGGTAACTGGTACAGGAGCAGCTGCAGGCAGCACTAAGAGCAATGTATTTTACCACATTTTGGAGATAAACCCCCAAACCTTCACTACATTTAAGGAAATGATTAATGGAAAATATCAACTATGAAACATTTTAAACATTTTGATTAGGTGTAACATGCAGGCTTTTTGCCTAACTTTACTGACACAGGACTATAAAAAGATCAGAACATGGGATGCAGGATTTTAATCAGAACTTGTGATATTAAAGTTGCTTTTTCTATGTTGATGCATGCACAGACTCTACATAGGACAAGAACTTGAGAACTCTAGTGCCAGACTCACTGGTACTACTCAGCACTTGTGGCACTGAGCTCTTAATACTAGCTGCTTATGTATCAGAGTTTCAATGCAGCTGTTTCAGAAAGGAAAACGTCTGAGGTCTGAAAGTATGTTATTCAGCAATAACACCTTTGCTCCTTCCTTTTCACCCCTCAAGATGTCATGATCCCAGAGAAGAAAATTCTTAAAGAAAGCCATTAACTCAATGTCTACCTGACCTTCCAAATGCCCCACTGTGTTCCAATACACAAAAAATTGAAGGGAAAGGTTTCCCTTGCACCTTGAGATGGAGGTGGAAAACCATTAAGAAAAGCACAGCACCAGCAATACCATCAAAACCACTACTGTATAAAAAGCGAATAGCTGTATTTTGATTCAGGGAAAGATGACTTCTCCCATTGTTATATGAAGACTTAGGAAATCCTGCCTCTCTCCATACATATATAAAAACAGATTTTTTTTTTTAACCTTGTCTTTCATACTTCAGCATTTACTATAGAGCCTTTAAAAAAAAACTAACAGTATTTTAAGGCACCTTAGACCAGTACATGACTTCATACAACCACAGAACAGAAATGATAGAATTGTTCTGGTTGGAAGAGACCTTCAAGATCAAGTCTAACTGTTAACCCAGTACTGTTAGGTCAACACTAAACCATGTTCCTAAGCACCACATCTAAATACCTACTTCTGAATGCCAAGATTTCAGGCTTCAATCATTCCTGACTTTCACTTAATCCAGAACTCCAGATTTAGGGTGCAAAATATTGTCATTTGTAAACAGGTAAGTATATAACGTGAACGCTTGCACTTTTAATATCAATTTTTTACACATGAGTTATGGTCAGCTATCTCTCCAACATGCTGAAGTGCCAGGGTCTAAACCCCCAGCCCTGAATGAGGGTTGGCATATGGATGATGTCCACAACCAGGCAAGAAAGACCCTCCCAACTGGTTTTCACCCAGGTTCTGGCCAGCCTTGGGTGGGAACTGATGAGGAGATCACCACCAGGTGCCCCCACCTTCCACACTAACTTGGAGGTGGGGCAAGAACCCACCTACATAAGAACTGACTGCTTGCAGTGGAGTTGGGAAGATGGCCTATATAGTGGATGTGCTTTGTGAGAATTCTGGCTACTGGAAGGTCTCCCTGACTCTTCACAGCAAGTGGAGTTCCCAGGAGAGTAGGGCCAGAACATGAAGCTATTATATAGTCCCTATTATATAAGTGGGCTCACGGCCTGGCTGCTGCCATCTCCCACAGCTTGGCTCCTCCCCTGGCTTGCTCTGTTCTTCACACCCACTGTGGTGGGGGAGTGCACTGACTTGTTCGTCCCTCTGGTTGTCTGGCACTTTGTGTCTCTGGTGTGTGGTGTAGAAGAAGAGGGAGGAGTTTGGCTGCTGGTCTGCCTGTTAATGATAGTATCATTCTATACTGGGCAAGTGGTCAGCAGAAGACATGCTCCTTATTCATTCCTCTTGCAGTGTCTCCTATGCATTACCTTCATGCCCTCAGGAGAGGTCTTTCCAACTCAAGCCGAAACTCACTGTTCCTTTAATTTTCCTTCATCTCTCTCACTGGCCACGTTTTCCAGAGTGCATACAAAATGGCAGCTATTTCATATACACATCATTTATCATCATTTTAACTTTATGCTCCCTTATCACATTTTCCTGCCATCTCATTTTTGCACTGCAGCCTATATGTAGATCACAATTGTTTGCTTTAATTTTCAGATCTGTGTAATATGCCCATAAATGTTATATGGACTATTTTTTCACAGCTGTTTTAAGTGTATAAGGGCTGTGTGTATATTTACCTAGAGCAGCTGGATTTGTCATTCAGATTAAATATATTATGAAAAGCTGGTATTGTGAAAAGCTAACCAGTTCCCTAAGAAGAAAGAGCTTATGTTTTCAAACTGGAGAAATTGTTGGTCTTACAGGGACATATGCACTTTCTAGTTTGAATAACGTTATTTGAGTGTATAGACACTGATAGATTAACAATACATTTTATCATTATTAAACAACACTCTGCTCTAATCAGGTCATATCTGAGATGCCAGGAGAAAGTTAACCTCAGAGTCATCTCTAATAGTTAACTTCCAAGTGACTCAAGATTTTTTGCTTCCAATATTTAGCTACCAATTATAATGCTGTTTGCACAAACATTTTCATTGACTCATGGCCACAGACTCATTAACCCAAGTTCTATGAAATTCTATTAGGTGATCCAACTGAAAGTTAGATTTCTATTTTTATTTTTAATCACCTATGGAAGCAAAGAGTACAATGTACAACAGTAGTAGAATACAACAGTATTAGTATTTCCCCCCACCTCTCCCCAGTGGCTATTCTGCTGACTTTAGACATGGCCTCAGAGAAATTACTGAAGTAAATAAAAAAAGTGGAGACTTAGAGTGAGGATACAGACGTAGGATGGTAGAACAGAAATTACTGAGCCTTCCACAAGAGGTACCCTGAGGTCCATCCATCAAAGTACTAACAGAATGCATTTCTGAGCAAGCCAGTGTGATTTTTACAGAACAGTGAGTTACTCCACACCACGTTCCCACTGGGTTACACGTGGAATTGTTGTCACTGTCCAGTGCCAAGAGCCCACACTTTCTTATACGATCCAGAAAAAGACCCATAGCATATCCTCTACATTCTCCAGGGGTGAAAACTTGATCTCTTTCTCCATTCCTTTGCTCATGCAGAAAACTTGAGTTCTTAGCCTGAGGTGTTGAAACTGATTCATCAAGTGAGGTAACACAAAACTGCTCTTGGCTCAGGCTGCACAGAGAAGCCTGCAGCTCCCTTTAAGGTCCTATACAGGGCTCTTAGTAAAAGATCTGGTCCCCTCTGAAGTCAGTGACTGGCTTGCTGGACATGAGCACAGACACCTTCAAGCACTGCTAAGGCTGCAGTGGGTGACTTGCACAGAAGTTTGCAAAGCCTCACGCTGTCACTGCACACCCAAGTACCAAACTGCACTGGGGTGGCTGAAGCTGTAAGCATGGCACAGACGTATCCCAGGCATATCCTTGTGTCTTAAGGACAGCTTCCTACACAGTGAGCTTTGTACAGCCTCCTCAAGCAAGACATCACGTCAGTGAGGACAGGCACCCAAAAATAGATCTCATCTTCCTTCTCCAAAGTCCAATTTCACAAACATGTTTTTCTGTTTAAAAAGAAATTAGTATACACCAACTTACTTTTATAGTACTTAAACCACAAAACTATTAAAAAGCCTAAAGGTGTATTAAACTAATATAAACCTACAGAAGTACTTTACATTTGTAATTTAAATGCTGCCAAAACTGCAGATTATCACTAGAAACAAGCACCACTGTGCCTCTGCCTTTCTAGATACTTAGGCAAAGGTGCACTGGGCTGCATTTTGGGTCATAAAGTAATTCTTGAATGTCTGAACTGTACACAGAACAACAGCTTGAGCACACTGGTTCAAAAGCTCCTATGTTACAGCATCTAATTTGCATTTCTCAAATATCTTAAATACAGAGAAATACATAAAGGAAAGCTTTGTGACAGAAAAAAAATCAGAAGTTTAAACATTTAAGGAAATTTAGAAAAACATGAAGCATAACATTCTTTAAAGCTTACCTACAAAGCATAGGATTTTCATCCAAGTTTCAAAACTTGACTGAAGTTAAAAATATCTGCATAAACACATCATTTTTGCTTTAAGCTTACCTAGATTTTAGAAATACATATAAAGGTTTCATACTTGTCTGGAAATACCAGTATGAAATGACACAT